ACAAGGGCCCAAAGCAATTTAGCAATGCAAATACGAAGTGAGCACATGGGGCTTAACTCGTATTTACACAGAAGAAACGTACTCGGAGTATTAAGTCCAGGTTGTCCATGCGGCTACCAATCACAGAACCCCAAGCACATGATTATGTCCTGCCCCCGATGGTCAAATGGTAGAGCTGAGATCTGGAGACAAGCCAAAGATTGGTCCTACGAAGCAATGAAAAACAATCCTGGAGATATAAAAAGGATAACACAGTGGATCCTAAACTATGGGTGGATAGAGCAATTCCAGATGAAAAAAGCGGTCAAAATACTGCTGAGGGAAAGGAAAAGGTCAAATAATGCTTGGGGAGGATAGAGATGATCTGGTTAGTTTACATGGATGGCACTACATTGTAATTGCGCTTCCTGAAGAAATTATGTGAGAACTGTAGACAAAAAATAGAAAGGTGTGAGAGGTTTTCACCATAAAGGTTTCCTCCCGGGGAAATATTATAGACTGTAGACACCTGCATGGGCCCATAGGGCGCCAAATCAGGATAATGAAATCAAAATCAAATATTAATAATAATATTCGCATCCCTGTAGGGTAAAACCCTCAGTGCCTATTGGGAAAAAATTGAAAACAAACAATATATACAAACATCTAAATTTTGGTAGTTTACTGTCGGATTTTGGCAGTCCTTAATAGTCATAGACTCAGTGGGGACTTAAATTTAATAAAATTCTACTCTGTTAATACCCCTACAGCAATATGTTGTATGAGTCTATCCACTGTCACCCATAGCTTATAAAATTATCCACTCCTCGCCGCTCAGCAATACAGCATCCGCATTGCTCATAAACACAACACTCCGCCATCAGATGGCCTTCAAATCACGCCCAGTAGAGTACGAGTTTCCACATGTGGACAACCATCGTAGTGTACAAACCTGGGAGGATAATCTTTGAGATTGGCCTGAGATTTGTCTGGATAAGCGGGCGCTGTTAAACTGAGCGTAAACTCAATCTCAAAAGAAGTTTTTGTTTTGTTCACTAACGTGCTAGATAAAGTAACTACCTTTGCACTCCTGCTGGAGCTTAAGCACGGGTGGGGCCGGGCTGGATCAGATAATCTACCATTAAGTACATCTACCTCGTCCCACCGCTGGCAAAGACGAATTCTTCACCTTCCAGTGGTGCCGGTGTAATCGCTCAGTATGCTCTGCACATCTGGGATAGCCAAGAAGAATCGCATCCTTCGCAACGGCAGCTTGCTGAGCGTGGCCCAGTCGATTTCGACTGACACATGGGCTAGGTTCCGTTCCCGGCACGATAGATCAAATGTTTAAGTTTGGGTCTCTTCTATAAAGTCCACTAATAACTTCCCGAGTGATTTTGACCGGGAGGACTTTACGAGTCACCAACAACCCTCCAAAATCAAAGGTAAAATTCCTTTCGCTTTCAACCTTACTAACATTGCGTGCAGGACTGGGCAATTGCTCGGCCTCATTTTAGACAAGCACCTCGACCGCGATATCTACATTCTCAACTTTTCGACACATTCTAAAGATGGCGCGAACGAGGAAGCCTCACTCAGACAACGAACAATGTACGACAAAAGCTGGGGCACCGATGCCTTGGTTTTGAGCTCTCGATTTCGGAATTTTAGCCCTCTCAAATGGGGGTTGAGCGCAATGCAGGGGAGAATTTGGGAAGCACGATAGGTGATTTTCAACAGGCTGTTGGCACAGTTGGTCGGGTGCTGGATGTGCTTTCTAGAAGTGGTAGGTTGGATTCCTACACGGCCTGCTTAAGGGGGACTACGGCTGCTCGTCGTGAAAGAGTACAGGAGGAATTATTGAGGTTTTCCCACGAAGGTTTGCCCTCAATACATGGTCTTAGGATCATGGTGAATGCGTTCCTACCTATTCGACTCGATGTAACTAGCGTGAGGTACGTATTTGGAAAAGTCAGGCACCAGATGGGCTTTGCTGGAAAATAGAGGAACTTATATTCTAGATGTCCTCCATGCGTGTCATGTCCATTGGATGGAGGGTGTAAGCCTGGCACGATAAATTAAACTAATCTAAACTACCTCGTCCCACCTAAATGATTGGTACACTTCAGACTTCACCCACGTGTTGAATCATGTAAAGCTCAACCATCCAGAGAAACTGTCGAATAGTACGACACAAGTTTTATTTGGATGTGCACTAAACAAGGATGCTGGAGTTTGGGCGGTAATAATGATTATGAGGATGTAATAACAAATGGATGATAATTAGTAATAGCTGTGTAAGCATATATCATGTGACGAGTGTTCAAGGTCACTAAGGCCCTGGCGCTCCGTCACAATTGAAGATTGATACGAATGAATGAAACAATTGTTATTGAGTCACCTCGAACAAGGAATCCATAGGAAATATTCCGACAGAAACCGTTTTTGCCACGCCGAAACGCAAATTCCTCCTCAGCCTCGGCCACCACGCGCCCGAGCCCTTTACACCTCCGCAATCTGTAACTTTTACCTTCGACTCATTCACAGCCTTGGCTCATCTCAGCATCTCCTCATCTCATCCAGGGGTCATTTTCTTCACTGGAGGCCTCATCCAGTCGCCCACCAAGGCCTCCTCAGTTTTTGTTCCCTTTTGTTCCTTCATGCAGCATCCCTCTGTCCTTCAACCGATCTCGTCATCCCAGAAACTTTGTAGAATGTCCAGCCCTCCGGCCTTGCCCCGTCGCTGCCGTACCCCTAACCGTGGAGGTCAAAAATCTGACTGAGAGCTCAAGACCGAGACACCGTTGTCCCAGCCTTTGTCGAACGCTCTGGTTGGTGTGCCGGCGAAATGTCGTACGTATTTCGTCGGTGAAGATTCATCGCAGGTCGAGTTGTTGGTGACCTTGGCCGAAGAGAGGAGGCATTTAAGGCCGGTATTTCGACCGAACCTTCACAGCGACTGGCAGTTGCGTAGGGTCGGACATCCTCTTGCTTCTTTGTTGGCGATTTGGCTTTTGGAGGTGTGGGATTGCTTCGGTAGGTGGTGAGTTGGTTGTGGAGAGGGCCGCGAGATAAGTTTGGCTGGGAATGATTTTCCGGAGAAAGAGATAATAAGATCTTGAAGGTGTCGGTTGTTGTAATACGAACATCAAGCAGGTTAAAGCCTGTCTGCGGTTCGTATCTGGGGTATAGATGGTTGATTTTGTTGAGCTGTGCAGTCGTGAAATCTCTGCAAGTCGGATTTTCGACCAAAAGTGAGCCAACACCACTCCTCCCGATCGCTAACTCGACGAAAACTCTCAAATTCACCCTTTGTCGTTACTGAATCTCAGTTCTGGGAGAATATTTCACTCCCAGGCTCGTATAGGACACAGCGTACAGGTGCTCGACCTTCCCTTTATTGGGAGTGCTTGTACAACGTGATTGTCAGGGTACACCTTGTGTTGGCACAATCCAGCTGTAACTTTCTTTCCCATGGAAAAATATTAATTATTTTATGGTATTTTTGGATTTGATTTCAATTAACCCAATCAGGCACCCTATGGGTCCATGCAGGTGACTATCTTCATTATTTACAAAGGAGGAAACCAATTTGGAGGAAACCTCCTGATCCTGTCTTTTTATGTTCCTATCGATTTATTTAGTTTACCTTCAGGAAGTGCACTGTACACTGTTCAGCCAGTGTGGATTCCGTCCTCTCCCCTTCCAGATCTATTTATTTTTTCCGACATTGCTAGCTCGACTTCCCCTGCAAGTCGAAACCGTTTTATCCATCGCTTGCTTAGTATCCACTGTGTGATTCTAGTCACATCTTCTGGGCTGTTCATCATGGCTTCAAATGACCTGTCTTTAGCTCGTCGGAGAAAGTCGCCTCTTCCATTTGCCCACTACGGACACGCCAACATCATGTGCTTGACGTTTTGCGACGGATTACCACATTGACAGCTTGGCTTTTCTACTCCGGGTACTTTTCTTCTGTACAGGTACGAATTGAGTCCGATATGCTCGGTTCTTAGCTGAGTGGCGACACTGCTTTGGGCCTTGGTCAGGTTACGGTGGATTTTTAAGAGTGTATTTTTGAAGTTAATTTTGGTGCTGCCTGCTTGTTCATCAGTAAATATATTTGTCGCTTTCCAATTTCTTGGATCGGCTGATGCTGGTCGGCCAGTAACAATGGTATTTACAAATACAATGCAGTTGAATATTTTTTCCTATTTGAAAAGGATCGATTGGCATGTACATTATATATCGATCATGTAAAGTTTCAGGGTGGAAGAATAAAATATATACAATGAAATATCCCATAGACTTATTGTCGGGAATAGCTTACACTATAAGAATCTGATACACATCTAATTCATATGTCAGTTAGATTTTTTGGCTTACAGTTGGCCAAATACCTCGAATCATTTCTCAGTTGAAGGGTGTTTTCCATATTAACATATTTATCAAAAGAGATCAATGGACTATCCATACTTATATAATATTTGTGCGAGTCTACATATCTAGGTTGCAAATAAGACAATATCCTAAGGTTAAGAAGTCCGTAAGTTTTCTTATTTTGGTGTGTGATGAGATTAAGTAATACAATTTCAAGATACCTATAAAGGGTCTTTCTGGGTTTTCTAAGCTAGATCAACATCTTTCTTGACTAAAAGTTGAGAAATTTTCTCTTTTTTTAATAAGCAGGATCAGACTTATCTCTGAACAGTCCATCCAAAAGTAATAACGTCATGAGCCATATTTCGTCTAACTCAATCACAGTGCCTGAGCGTGCATGATAAATACAAAGCTTTGTTAGCTGTTTTCTAATAATCTAGCATTAAAGTACCCATCTTTTATGTAGAGTTAGGCGTAATTGAGTTTGGCACTCTTTGATAATGGCTCAAACTTGAGATATAGGATACCCCATTTTTCCCAATCTCCCTGAAGTAGATTGCTGACAAAGATAAGCATAAAATTAAATTGTATGGGAATGATAAGAGGTATAAGGATTCTACTCTCGTCATCAGACTACCCATTTAACTGTAATCTCCAATGGCCCATCGCCTAAGGATGTTCTTTTTTACCTTCCCTGTGCTTGTTTTTGGTAATTCTGATACAATTACGAACTCACGTGGTATCATAAAACGACTGATAGAACTTTTTTTCCTAGCCCATTCAACAAGTCGAGGACTGTCTAAGACTTGATCTGGAATAGTCTTTATATCCGCTCTTTCTTTTAGTGTGACAAAAGCAACAGGACGCTCTCCCCAGGCTTCATCTGGAGAACTAACCACTGCCGTCTCAAGTACGTCAGGATGCTGGATAATCATGGCTTCTAGAGCTATGGAAGAGATGTTTTCGCCACCTAGTTGTTTCGTCATTATTAGCATCTAGATTTGGAATACTTTACCAAATTTAAAGAAATAATTATTTACCAGAGATAATAACATCTTTCTGCCGATCAAGGATTTGGGCACTACCGTCTGGGTGCCAAGCCGCTAAATCACCACTGTGAAGGACTCCGCCAGCCCACAATTTCCGTGAGGCCTCAGGATCGTTAAAATATTCTTTAGCACAGATATTTCCAGAGAATACAATCTCTCCGATTTCCTGTCCATTTTTTTCAACATCTACAAGAATACCTTCGGGCTGGTTAGTCTTCACCACACGAATGGGAAGACTAGTGATAAATCCATGGCCTTGGCGCGCCATATTGGCATATTTTTCCTTCTCAGGATGATTATTCCATGCAGGCATATGGTAGCTTTTTGTAACTGGACCATATGTTTCTGTCAAGCCGTATACGTGGTTGGGTAGAAGGTTGAGGTTGCTCATTTGCTCGAAGAGATGCGCAGAAGGAGGTGATGCTGCAACAGTAACCCGGATTGGATTACAGAGAACCGCTGCATCTTTTGAGGCACACAAGAGAGTGACGACTGTCGGTGCGGCACTAAAGTGAGTGACTGTCTCATTTTTTAAAAGCTTCCATATTTGAGAATAATCTATTTTTCGGAGGCAATAATGAGTACCTCTAACTGCAGTTACAGCCCATGGAAAAGCTATAAGTCGTGTCAGCAAAAAGTTTTGAGCTTTTTTAATACAGCAACTTGGGTTGCAGTTGTAATTATTTTGTCTTTTACCACATTTCCCAATGAGATCAGAACCTAATTGGATGTGATGGAATGCAGTCTGAGGATGGAATATCTTTAATTGCTTTTTCTTTGCATTACCTTGTCTGTCGGCGTAGGAGTTTGTAGAAAAGCTAATTAGAGAGTTTTCAATATCATGCTTGATCAGGTCTCCCTAAATCACTTCCGGGAACTACCCAGCTCGTCATGATACCTCCCTTGTCTATAACAAATAAGTCGAGACTTACTCCAGCCAACGGCATGAAACATTGGAAGTGTCCAAAGGTAACCGCATCTCTTTCCGTCCTCGAATGAAAGACCACTTTCAATAACATTCGCCATTGCGGCCAAATAGGCACCACGATGAGTATATACCACGCCCTTAGGCTTGGCTGTTGTTCCGCTTGTAAATGGCACTGCTATACATGTATCTTCATCAAAGTTGTGCGCATCCGCTCCGTCGCGGAGCTTATTTCCGGCTTGGGCATCCCATTCTAATCCCTCTGATATTGCGTTATTAAATGGTCCTACATCTCCTTTAGATACCTGATTTGTATCAGTATCAACAATAAGTCTAACGTGCGGGTGGTTTTGTTTGAAAACATCGAGCAGAGATAAATACTCAGCATCGACTATAATGCAGTCAACCTCTGCAAATGAAAACATGTATGAGATATCTTCCTGATTGAGCCTATAATTGACGCCAACATGGACACCTCCTGCAGCTCCTATGGCAAATATTGTTTCTAGAAATGCGGGCGTATTTGGAGCAAGAATTCCAACACGCTGCAAGCCATGCTTAAGAAAGAAATGCGCGAGACCACGAGAACGATTGGCAAACTCTAGGTAGGTTCTTCGTACTTTGATCCCATCGGCAGTTGTATGATATATGGCTAATGCATGGGGCTCAATGGCAGCCGCACGAGAGAGGAAGGATGTTGGACTGAGACTGTGAATATGTGGTAATCGCTGTGAGGGCAGCTGAGATAGAATAGATGAGATGCGATTAATTGGCGACATTCTGTATCATTTCTTACACACTAGATTCGCAGGAAAGGTAATACTCCCCTTCCCGCACAGAGTCCATCCGTTTTAGTCTCTCGCTTTATTCCTCTTTTCCGATGGAGTTAATATGGAGGGCGGGGCATAGTCAAGAAGCGACGAATGTGCTCAGATCGCTTGCCCGCTGATGTCAGTATCCGTTTAACAATGCGGCGTTTCATCGGATAAGGGAGATGTGATCAATCACTATACTCTTCCACGTCCCCATTGTGAAATCAACGCAGCAATCCGATCCGATACTATTTAGCAGCAGAAAGACTGGTCGCAAGTCACACCCCATCTTTTGGCCGAATGATGTTAACAGGCCTGGAACTTCCTAAATAAAATGTCCCCAGTGATCATGGCGGAAAGTTTCTGTCCTCCGATTTTCGATGAATTTGGATAGCAGAACTGAGATTTCTGCACCAGTCTTTGAATTGAAGCTCTCTGTTTGACCACAAACACGATTAGACTTCGCAAGTTGGTTAACGGCGTCTTGTAAGGCTGTAATTAGAGACTAGATCTCTTCAATTCTTCACTTCATACGAGGCTGACTCTAGCCATATCCTCAACATATGTTGGAGCAAGCGACAGTGTATGCTTTATTTAAGGTTAGATAGTGCAGTGGTACACCGCTCAAACACTTTTCCCTAGTAGATTCTGGATAGCTCGGAAAGCTACCCCATCTGGTATACGAGAAAGCTAGCTCGAATGCGGCAAAGCACCGCCTTATTTCTAGCGCTGATATCGTATTAGTAGGGTGGCAAAGACGCACTCGAGTGATCATGGGGCTTTTCATGCTTTTCGCCGCACTGGGTGTTTACGGAAGAGGTTACACGCCGTAATTGTGTACTTTCAGGGGTATCAGAGAGTAAAATCTAAATGTCGGTGTTTGTTAGAATTTGGAATATTTATATATTCATTTATAATATTTAACATCGTGCCCGCGCACACCATGTGAGCTCTTCACGTACCAGTTAGCCCAGTCTATATAAAACTAGGCGACATGTTGGCGCCTACATAGACCCAACATAGCAATTGAAAACCAGGATCTTATTATCCTGCGCTCGATGTTTGAATTTACATGAATATCGGCCCCCCGTTCTCTCTCATGGTTCATAGATGTTATTCAATGAAGAATTCAAAGCAAAGAAATAAAATTGGTAAAGAGGGAAATTGGTTACATCACTTTAAAGCTCTCTAGTTTTTATTTGGAATTTGGAATAACTGGGGCTATCAAGTAGGCCATGTTGTTGATACACACGTGACTTCAACTTCTGTAGTTAGTTTCACTTTGGTAGTCACTTGAATCAATGCGCTATACAACCTCATTGACTAAGGATTCATTATTTCCTTAAAAATTTTCCAAATATCAAAATAATTGTGTGTTTTTTATTGCACTGCTCTAGTTATAAACTATCTAGCACATTTGGCTCCTTTCTGAACCAGGCCACACCTTGTACAGTGCCCCTTGCCTCTCATGTTTCTTGAAAGATCATTGATATATTGCCCTTGATGAATAGCCATTCAGCTCACTGTTTACCCGTGGAATTCGGCCACCTTTTCCACTGAACCTTCTACCTAAAAAATGGTAGTAATGGAAAAAGTCTCAAAAAATCTACAGCCCCAGCCAGGCGAGGCCTAGACACGGGGACCACATGAGGTGCGTATATTCATCTGTATCTTCCTTCTTCGTAATATTCGAGGTCGACTTGATCCAACCCGCCATCTCCGTATCGGGTGCTGGGTACGCTCCGGAAACTCGTCAGATGGCTTTTCCTCCATGATCTAGGGTTGATGATGAGTAAAGCTCCGACTCTACTATCTGATCTAATCGTGGTTAGCTTCATGATAATACTGATGGGGGAATGTGTTGGGGGATGAAGACGATTCAGACCGCGAAGCGATTGGAAATCCTCGTCGAATTGAGGACTTTGTTACTCAATCTCGGCTCTGCAGACTCTACAGTGAGAGCTGGAGGTTCGTAGGGGACACCACTGACAGGCGTTGAGAATAATCACCCTCGACCCTCCTCCGTTAGTACCCACCAAAGGGAAATGCAAAACCTTTGATTATCCAAGGAAGCCTTCGTCATTCATGCATACCAACGCCGCGAGAAACGTGATTGTGTTTTGCCGGATTTAAACCAGCGATCGGCTGTCTCGAGTGGAATATGTTTCCAAGCTATCTAGACCTTACTTAGCAGACCGGCCAAGACGATGTACCACCGCACCATCCAACCATGGCGGTGTTTATAGTGTCGCCTGCACTCTCGCAACGGAAGCCTTGGCACGAACAAAGCTCGATTCGTAAAACACCCTGCCAAAATTCCAAATTTCGCGCCCATCGAGACTGTATCCGTCATCCGTATCATCTTATGAACTTATCCTGATTTCTCTCACGTCCATCCCAAAGAACTGTCCCTCAGATTTGTGCGCCACGCTTTGTTTCCTCCGTCGGGTGTAAATATTGACGAGGGCGTGTATTTGGCGACCAGCTGAGGCCAGAGAAAGTTGAAAAGAGGTCTGATCATTGCAATGAGAATGTACTAGGTCGTACTTGTAAACGTGACGAGGCTTCTGTGGAGATCGATCTCGTTGGGTGTTAGTAAATTTTTGGTGGAGAGTCTTGAATCATTGCCTCGCGGGCCAACTTCAGAATTGTGATAATTGACAGAACTTGGCTCTGGGAGAATATTTCGCTCCCAGGCTCGTATAGGACACAGCGTACAGGTACTCGACCTTCCCTTTATTGGGAGTGCTTGTACAACGTGATTGTCAGGGTACACCTTGTGTTGGCACAATCCAGCTGTAACTTTCTTTCCCATGGAAAAATATTAATTATTTTATGGTATTTTTGGATTTGATTTCAATTAACCCAATCAGGCACCCTATGGGTCCATGCAGGTGACTATCTTCATTATTTACAAAGGAGGAAACCAATTTGGAGGAAACCTCCTGATCCTGTCTTTTTATGTTCCTATCGATTTATTTAGTTTACCTTCAGGAAGTGCACTGTACACTGTTCAGCCAGTGTGGATTCCGTCCTCTCCCCTTCCAGATCTATTTATTTTTTCCGACATTGCTAGCTCGACTTCCCCTGCAAGTCGAAACCGTTTTATCCATCGCTTGCTTAGTATCCACTGTGTGATTCTAGTCACATCTTCTGGGCTGTTCATCATGGCTTCAAATGACCTGTCTTTAGCTCGTCGGAGAAAGTCGCCTCTTCCATTTGCCCACTACGGACACGCCAACATCATGTGCTTGACGTTTTGCGACGGATTACCACATTGACAGCTTGGCTTTTCTACTCCGGGTACTTTTCTTCTGTACAGGTACGAATTGAGTCCGATATGCTCGGTTCTTAGCTGAGTGGCGACACTGCTTTGGGCCTTGGTCAGGTTACGGTGGATTTTTAAGAGTGTATTTTTGAAGTTAATTTTGGTGCTGCCTGCTTGTTCATCAGTAAATATATTTGCCGCTTTCCAATATGTTATGGTATTTCTTGCGTGCAGTGACCGTTTGTCTTAACTGTTAATAAATTCCATCTCAAATGGCTTTACTGAATGTAGCTACGGCACAATCGTATGATGTCAAAATAAATTATTCCATTTATACTCATAATCGTTATTAAAGGTTAAGCCTCTAAAACTTGGAAAGCATATAAGTTTTATCAATGCCGATATTCTGGACGTTAAAGAATAAGTTTCCAGAAAACTCCTCTTACTCTCCATAAAAACCTGACAAGGGCCCAAAGTAGCTTAGCAATCCAAATTAGAAGCGAGCATATCGGGCTCAATTCATATTTGCATAGAAGAAAAGTACCAGGAGTCTACAATCCATGTTGTCCGTGTGGCTACCAACCACAAAATCCCAAGCATATGATCATGTCCTGCCCTAAGTGGTCAAGCGGTAGGGGTGAGATCTGGAGACAAGCCAAAGACCGGTCCTACGAAGCAATGATAGACAATCCTGGTGATATTGAAAGAATTACGCGATGGATTCTTAATCATGGTTGAATAGATCAATTCCGCATGACATGATTGAATTGAATTGTTTTAGGATCCTAAGCTATGCTCTATATCTCCTAGGAGTCAAAGACCGGTGTACACGGCCGAGATCATGCTTTCCGCATGCCCACCTCGGTTTCACCGCGTGAACCAGTACACAACCAGTAGCTAGTTAAAAGAAAGAAAAATAGAAACTCCCGTAAACTCCCATAGCTAAAGTTCCAAGCCCAGTAATCCAGATTGTGGTTAGAAAAACGACACTTCTCGTCTCGTTTTCCTACCTGCCATACATCGTGCTATGACTAATTACCACCGTCTCCGCTGAGAGCTAGAGACGGATCTGTAGGTGGGCCCCCGAAGCAGCCGGTTTCCTGCGCAAATCTTGTAAAGTTCTCGAGGCACTTAGGCCCGAGAAGCTTGTGGACAAAGTCGTGATGTGACATTGTACCTCGTAGTCGACGCGTCTGGCGTGCGTGCAGTCGACAGTGAATAAAATGGAGAGGTGATGTTAACTCCCCACACGCACACTCCATTGAAGCTGCGAAGTTGTTGAAACGGCGGTTACATGCCGCGAAGTTTCCGTGGCCCGTACGGGCTGAGATCAATTCACGGAGTAGCCGCCGGGAAAGTGCCTGCTCGCGTGGCTTGCGTCGTCGCATGAGAAGACCCAGATTTCGATACCTAGGTGGACATACTTCTTCCCACCAGTCGTCGAGAAGCGCTTGACGCTTCCGGCTCATGAGCCGACGAACGTACGCGATTGTGACGGAGCCAGGCTGGCTGTCTTTGCTTGGTAGTTGTCGGAGGCTGGAGCGTGCAGCTCTATCGGCCTCTTCGTTTCCCTGTATCCCGGAGTGGGCTGGTATCCACTTCACCGAGACATGAGCCTTTTCTGATAGCGCCCTAAATTGGCGTACATCGTCTAGGCTTGTTGTGGCAATTCCCGTCAACAGTGCCTTCACTGCAGACT